TTCTTGTTTTGATTCGCACCCAATTTCTTGCCCGTTGTTTTGAATCTAGAGACGCATACACATTAAGGTATTTAAGAAGAAAAATCTTTTATTTCGAAACAAGTTTTTTTAACCAAAACCCCCGTCCTGATGAAGAAAGTGGTTCCACTTTCTTCATCAGGACGGCAGAATTAGTTTGCTTATTTTTGTCAAGTGTTTGGAAATTATTCGGTATATTTTTATTGTTTTAAAAAACGAGCCAAGTGAGATGGAAATAAAAGAATATCTTCGTATACCTTAAAACACATGCACACAAATTACACATAAATTTTGTATGGTATTATTTTTTTGTCGACCCTCAATCTCGATTCACGTTTATAATGTACATACAAACATTTTGGTGTATTATGTGCGTTTATATACATATGCGCGCGTATACATATATAAATATACATACATAATACAATTGTTAAATATTTACAAATTTTTTGTTTTGTTTTTTTTGTTTTTGTTGACAGTTGTCAATATAATGAATAATCACCTCTTGTGCCTTCACAGTCCCTGCTTATAACCTTCGTCTGCGTTATTATTTTTTAATTATAAATATAATTAGTAACAATTATCTATGGACAATGTTTAACAATACAATAACGTCATGCGCACCTCGGACTCACTTTTCATTACGCTATTTACCTGCCTTTGCGGAGGCCCTAATCATTACTAATCTCCCGCTCACACATTCTATGCCTCCCTCGTGTTCTCTCTCCGCATTTCTGCTCTACACACATTGGCCTTGTTTGCGTGTGTGTATGTGTTACTCATGAGAGGGTTTGTCAACGCGTTTGTAGAACCTGGATCAAAGCGCTTAACTTGGTGCTCCTGCCTGGCTGAAACGAGCTTTTTAATCGGTTTCTTTTTCAGTCGTGATTTTTTACTTTTTTTTACCCGTTTTTTGGACTCATTCAGAGGAAAACTGTGATGTGAGTCAATTTTTTTTTACATATTGTTGTTTTATTGCGAAAGAATAATGTTTTTATTGTAAATGGGTTTTATCAGTAAATCAGTATTTAGGTCTCTTCTTTCTTCAAAATAGCACTTTGGTGTACAGGAAAATATTGTCTAATTTTTTCTATGAAAGATGGGACACCTAGAAAATGTTGAATAATGGTTTGATTCTGAAAAAATAAAAAAATTTGTGATTTAAAATACGGTTCTTCTGATAATATCTGTAATCATGACATGGTTATGTAACCATTTCTCTGAAAGGAGACAGTTTTGTTAATAATAAATAGCATTTGAAATAAAAAGTTGATACCGAAAATGCTATAAATAATACCAGATGGTTTGAGATAAAAAGACTGCTCTCGTTCAATTTTAGACTTCCCTTTGGTTTTGGCAGATAAAAAGGAAAGGTACTTTAATATTTTGTCGAATGATATCAACTCCCCTGGCAACAAAAGGTCTTTCGCAAAGTGCTATTTCGATTCCAAAAACAGTTTTCACCCAGAACCAATTTCAAATATAGTGAACAAGATTAACGTGTTATACTTGTTGAGGAAAAGCTTCATATTGTATGAGCTGACCTCCCAGCTTTTTAATTCATAGAAAATTTTCGAATCAACTTTTTTTGGGGTGATATTTCCCAGACTTGTGCAGATATTATGATTTCAGAAAGACGTTTTTCGAGCATCGCATCGCCTAATTGCATTTTTGAAATTTGACCTACATGAGTATTGAGGCGAGTGGAGAAGAGTCTATTAGGATCATATTATGACAATTTCATTTGATTTGCCCAAAAACCTTAATAGATCTCTTATGTTCGCCACTAGCACTATTCTCTACTACTATCACCACTACCACTACAACTACAACAAATTGAGACCTTCTATTCAACGAGACAATAGTTTGCAAACTAAGAAATGACTCGTCGCTCCAAATATTTCTATTGAGTCTGCTTAACGACTGCACAAGATAATCGCAGTTTCCAATATTTCAAAATCAAGATAAAGATACTGCAGTAGCTTTTCTGAATAAATAAAATTTCCCTATAAAATTATTTTCAAATGTTATTATTTTAATATATGTAGAACCCTTTGGAAAATGAATCCATTAACATTAAAAGAGTAGAACCCCTATTTTCTACTATTCAACTAACTTCTACTTAAATTTAACGACATACTATTAAATTTAAGGCCTATTATAAAGCTAACATTAGCCAGCATTAGCTAATATTTCTCTAGAAAATTGAAATCGTACAAACTTAGAAAAATATAAATATTGAGCCCTTTGGGACGAATTTCCATGAACAATATTTAACACCTATAACATTCTCCTAGAAAATAAAAAGCCATCGTTATTTTTCTACAATGAATAATTAAAGCATATAAAGTCGTTATTATGAATTTCTAAATACTCCGCTCAAGAGCATGTGTTACTCTACTCTCTTTTCTTTACCGGATAAATTCCAGTAAAACAAATTACTTTTATAAAAATATATTTTTTTTAATTCTACATACTGTAAATTCGAACTTTCGAATAAATTTCCAGTCTCATCTAGTGCACGATATTAGCAGATTTGGAAAAAAGAGAAATTAAATACAGAGCTGGAAGCAGAAATGTTTTCAATTTCTATACTATTTTCTTTAAAATTGTTCAAATATAGGTTTTTTTAGACTTATTCAATTTATTACAAATGGATGTGATCCGAAAATTCTAAATATATTAGACATCAAAGTTTTTTTTTCTTTTTCTTTATATCAAAATTTTACTAGACAAGATTTGTAAACTTGTGTGAAAATATTTTCAAAATGGATTTTTTTTAAATGAAAAATTGGGAAATTTTAATATCTATAAAAGCCTTATTAATATATAGTACGTAGACATATAAAAATGAATTATAGATTTCGCTAGGGAAAAAACTCTAGTCATAATTATAGGAAAGCGAGTGAATTTTTAGTAATTGTTTGTTTATTAAGGTATAAATAGTAGTTTTCGGCACTGACTATTGTATTATAAAGCTTTCTATTTACATAAATACTTAAAGTTTATTTAAATCCCACATAGTTTAATTTGTAATTTTATCTGCTTTTAATTACTTATAGACGCAATATTACAGTTATGAAATATCTGCAATAATTCACGATTGAGAATATTCACCCCAAAAATTCAATGTTCAAATAAAAGTTTTTATAAAGTAGAGAAAAAGTACGTTATAAAGCAGGAGCAACCAAGTTTAAGGTCTTATTATCATTGTTCAGTTAGTAGTTTTGAAGAGAATTTGTCGGAATAAAAAAATATGTCCGTAAAGTCGGTTGGGTCGAAAAAATAAAAATTTCTTTTCTAACGGGCCTCAGATCTTAAAAACTTTTATTTGTTGCTCTAAACACTCATACAAAAATACATAGGATAAAAATATTAATTTTTTTACACGTTTTATTCAAAATTATAGTTTTTTGATTCCAAATTGTTTTATACAGCTCAAATTATCATTTTTAATTTAAATTTAATTGTCATTTTTTGCCAATTAACATCAAATTATTTATTTTTTATTTATTTATTTAGAATAAGTTCCTAAATTATTGAAAATTTTAAATAGTCTATGAATTTTCTTCCTCAAATTCAAAAAAATCCATAAGTAGATTTGCAGTTGCAATTTTAATAATAATCAATTATTTTATCACTTATTTTTGTATTTATAAATAATTCAATTCTCGTAGAACTTTTTAATAAGAATTGATTTAAAAGAAAATTACTGTTAAAATTTTAGAAAATATTTGGAAGACAAGCAGTGCTAATTGTTGGAAATAATTAAATTTCAAAAGGTTTTACATTGAAAGTATTTTAAAATTTTAATTCCTACTGGATTTTTATTTTAAAATTCTGAAAAAATGACGTTATTAAAAAATCGTAATTAAATTTTTTGTGAAAATAATTTTAAAAAATTGAAAAAATAGGAAATTTTCTCAAATTTCATTAAAATAAATTTTACATTTCAAAGAACTTTATTTTCTGACTTTAAAAAATAATTGCATTTTTTAAGAATTGTAACCAGAAAAATTGGAAAATAATAAAATTTTACAAAAATGTATTTAAAATTTTAAAATTATTGAAATCATCGTTGAATTCTAAAAAGAATTGATTTAAAAAAGAATTTCAGTTAAAAAGCTAAATTTATGAAAAATAATTGAATATTAGAAGCGCAATAAAACAGGAATTTTAGGAAATAATTAAATTTTAAAAGATTTTTAAATGGAAAACATCTTTAACATTTAATCATAAAAGTATAAAAATATTTAAATGTTTTTTAAAAAGTTATTAACCTATTATTTTCCTTTAAAAATTATTAATGTTTTGAATAATTTTTTTCAAAAATTCTAAAAAATAATTGACTTGAAAAATTACAGTATTTTGAGAAACAATTAAATTTCAAAAAGTTTTTGCATTGAAATTATTTCCAATAAGTCTTTCAATATTTGATTAACGCAATTTATTAAAGTTTTGAATAACTTAATGTAGAAGTTCTAAAAATTTAGGTTTCTGAGAAACTGTAATTAAAATCTTTTGAAAATAACTGAATTCCCGAAAATAATTTAAAAAATTGAGTCAATTAAAAGTTTTGTCAAATTTCATTGAAATACATTTTATAATTAAAAGAATTTAATTTTATTACTTGTAAAAAATTGTTGTGCAATATAATCGTGCCTTTGAAGAATTATAATTTAAAAAATTATATTTTTGAAGAAATAAAAATTTTTTCTTAAATTTCAAAAAGAAAATTTTTGTAACTAAAAATAGTAAAATTTCACATAGTTTAATATTTAGTAAATTTAATTTCACATAGTTCAAATTGAAAGAAATAATAAAAAGTCGATCATTAGAACGTTCGAAACTTTAGGGAAATTTTTTTATACGAGTTGTTTAGCATCTAAGTTTTTAAAAACTGAGACCATTTAAAAAAAAAATTTGTTTTTCAGCCCAACCTACTGTAAAGTAAAACACTATTATGATCCAAAGATCAAACTATGGGTATATACATATATATCTGTAGCATATTTTTTTCATAACTTCTATTAGAGTTATTTAGGCCGATTAAAGAGAATTGAAATTATTGGAAAAGCAATTTCTCCTATTTATCATATAATATATCGAGTGAAATTGAATTAGTCAGCGTGTGAAAAAAGTTTCTTTGCTATATATGAGCATCCAATTAAAATAATTAATACGATAAATATACCTCCAGCAAGGTGGTTAATTTCATAATAAAGTTTAATTGAACGCAGATAATAGAAATTTACCAAAAACAATAAAAAAAAACTCGAATAATTAAATGAATCTAAAATCTAAATCCAAATTCACTCGATTATTAGATAAAGAGGAGTCGTTTCATTTATTTTACGAACGTGTGCGTGCCTGTGTGTAAATGTGCGCAAACGTACTTGAAAATAACATTTCTTTATTAAATTTCATCATTCTGATATTATTCATATTTCATCACTCGGATAACAAATTTTCGGCGACAATAATCCACGGAATCGAGATGGATCTCGTTGATCTGCAAGAAGGGTGGTCCAGCGACTTGAGAGCGTACACGTTGGTCTTGTAAAAAACGCGATTTCTTAGTTTTTTTTCGGAATAAAATTTGTGCGTATAGTGACTCTTGACAAGTAGAGAAGAACAAGGGATGAGGTGTAGGGGTCTGAAAGGGACAATATTTTTCTTGAACACAAGGACCGCCGCAGTTCTGCCCGAATTCAACAAAATCCGAAAAATACTTTTCTTTTTCTCCTTCTCTCTTTTTGTGTCTCTTTCTCTCTCTGACCGTTGATCATTGTCGCCTCGCGATTCAATCAAATATTGTGCGTACAACTATCTTGATTTGTTTCTTGTTTCTTTTTTTTTTAGTAGGAAATCGGTGCCATAAGAAAAAGACTCCTGTTGTCTTTTTTAATATTATATATATATGATGGCCAATGACAAACCGCACTTAACTTTTTTTTTCTACAAAAAATTATTTTCATTTTCCATTATTAATAATTAATTTTTTTTCAATATTATTTCTTGACTTATAATTTTTCCCCTATGCACCCTCGTGTTTATTTTTCCAGCTCGTATGCCTAGTATTTATTTTATATTATAATGCCTAAACGAACACATATTATATCTCGATAATAGTATCGAATCATCTATTCACATCTCGGCAGGGTTGCTCTCTCCTCTTCTCTCCTCTCCGTCAGGTTCTTTCACCCCCCTACAATCCCCCCTTTATGAGTACTGCTTAAACGAGCGTGACGTACTATCTACCTATGTTGCTCCAATTAATATCATCGTTACCGTAAATGACTTATGCGCGTACGCATGTACCGTAAGTAATGTATATAATAATTGTGTTGCTGTTATAACTTTACGTTAACGTTACTTTTATCATTACGTTATTGTTATTATTATTTTTTTCTTTACTCGTTAATTTAATTATTATAATCATTATTATTGTATTATTGTGATCATTGTTATTTCCGTTGGCATGGCGTTGCAAATTATCATCATCACCATCCCTATTTATTTGTTTAACTAATTTTTTTTGTTTTCAAGCACTTTTCATTATTTATATATTCTTTCTCAAGCATTCATTCATTCACATTTGTTTAAAATTTCCCCATTTCTCTACTCGCTTATATATTTTTTTTGCTTTTTTTATTTTTGTTACCTCCCTCGTTTCTTTACAATTCTTTGTATTTCCATTTTAAAAACCATTTGTCGACTCCATTTGGATATTTCTACCCTTGTCGAGTCTCCTGGACAGATGGTGTTTTCTTCTCTCTGAGATGGCTTTCTCTGAAGCGCTACAGTGGTCCAGGAGATGGCAGAGTCGAGATCCTCGAGCGAGGATCATATTCACACGGGGTGAATTGCATTGCACATCCGCGCGTCATACGCTCTTACGCTAGTTTAAGGACCTTAAGACGGATTCCTCCAGGAAGTCGATCGATCGAGATCGAACCCAAGGTGATGGCAGGAGGCACAGAAACGTTTCTTTCGCCGCTTTCGACGCCTCCGACGACGAGGCTGCCACCCGAATTCACAGTTTCTTCTGGGACAACGCTGACACCTGGGTTTTCTATTATTTTTATTATTATGATTAGTATTATTATTATTATTATTATTATTATTCGTCACTTGGTTTAGCCTAAAACAGGGATCACCGCTCTTCCACCTCCACGACCACCACCACCAGTACAACCACCAACGACACCAACACTTGATCACCATTTCATGACGGAAGATTGCGAGAAAGAGACGCTTCGCTGGATACGCGACACGATCTCTAGTAGTCCTGGAGTGAACTCGATGCCGGGAATGTCGATTAGTTGTGAGAGAAGTGGGTAGAGCTTTCACCAAGATTTCGAGCACTAGACACCAAGTGATGGTTGTTTGACTAGTGCAGATGGGGATCAGGACGCCCCACACCCACAAGAGATAGAGGATAGGTATTGATGGGGATGCTGTGCTCGGGGATGAAGAACTGATCATGGTACCAACGCCTCCGGTGCCACAGAAGGACTGAGGCTGCTGCGGCGGCTGGGGCTGTTGCTGTTGGTCCAGTGGAGAAGATGAAGAGCCTGCCATGTTCAATTCAAGTTGCTTCTGATGTTGGCCTGCAAAAAAGCACAAGTTTTCTTCTTAACATTGTTCTCAATACTTGCATCAAGCATTTTTTATTTTTACTTAGAAAGTACATTTACAAGTAATTCCACTCAATTTATTAATAGAACTTAGATTATCCAAACTGACACACAGAAAAAACGATAATCTAATTTTAAGAAGCGCCTACTATTATTTTAAGGATATTTCTCACTTAATTTAAGTGGGGAATATTCTTGGCGCCTATTTAAGTAGATTTTCATAAATTTAGAATATGATTTTTTCAGTGAAGTCTTAATTTTGAAAAGATTATTCAGATATTAAGCAAATGGATTTCAAAATTCCCAAGAAACTTTTGTAATAATTATTAAAAATAATTGATAATTTATTGATTACTTTCCAAGAATTTTAATACATTTTTTAAAAATAATTACATTTCTCGAAGAATTTACTTAAAATTGTATTAAAAATAATTGAATTAAATCATTGAAATGAGGAATTTTTTTAAAAAATAATTGATTATTTGCCAAGAATTTTATTAATTTTATAAAAATATATTGAAATCATTTATTTGTAGGGGAGAGTGGGGCAAAATGGGGTAGGCGGGTCAAATGGGGTACCTCTGTTTTTCCATGATAGGTACTTTTAATTTTTTTTCCCTCGACATATATCATTCATGTTGATAAGAAACTGTTATTAATTATGAAGACACTCCAAAGAAATTTTTTTTTGAAAGTTATACAACTTTTAAGTTTTAAGCAAAAAAAAATATAAATTTTTTTCAAAATTAAAGTGCTCTCCAAACTTTTTGGGATAATGCATTTAATTTGGCAAGTGTGGGATCTTTTTCAGTACTTATTCTAGAGTAATTTCCAATAGAATAGATTGTTTAATTGTTTACAATAACTTGTAAACATTGCATTTTGTTTTAATATGCAGTATGGGGCAGAATGGGGTACCTAAGTGTGGGGCATGCCAGAAGCTACGCCGCTTCATTAAAACTATTTAAAAACATTATATTATGCATATTTAAAGGTTTCCTGCAGAAGAATCAATATTTTTGTTTGGAAATTTATACCATCGATGTTTCATTATCGATATATCGATATTTTGCAATATCCATGTTTTTTTTTGTTAAACTCTAATAAATATTACTTGTTTTTTCATAGTAATAAAGAATCCTACTTTTTGTTTGTATTTATAATTTCATACAACAAGAATTTAATGAATTTTGAAAAAATACTCAATGTTTTGTATAGTTATTTGATGCCACCCCATTTTGCCCCACGGGTGGGGCAAAATGGGATTTTAGCACTTTCTTAGAAAATACGATATAAGTTCTTTCAAAAATTTTTTTCTCCGCTATTATCATAATTTCCTCAAAGCTAAGTGTACAAAGAAGAATTCTGAAGTTTAGCTGAATCGATTTATTCGTTTGGTTCTCTGTAAACAGCCAATTTCAAAAAGGTACCCCATTTTGCCCCACTCTCCCCTATAAATGACAAAATTCAATTTTTTACAGTACTTTAATAAAAATCCCTGATTTTTCCCTGCCCAATTTATTATTATTATTATAAATTTAACAATTTATTATTTACGAATATAATTCATTTCTTGCAACGAATTTTTATTACATTTTTTTTAAATAATTGAAATCCTGTGAAGAATTTTATGATTTATGAAAATAATTGAATTTTGCAACGAATTTTATTACATTTTTTTTAAATAATTGAATTCTTTTGAAAAATTTGATTAAAATAGCAGATTTTGAAAATATTTGAATTGAAATTGCATAAAATTAATGAAATAATTGAATTTCTGTGAAAATATTATTGTCTTCTTAAATTTAAAAATTAATTTATTATCATTATCATATTATCATTTATTTATTATCATTTTAAAAATATTCTATAATACGCTAATTACTGTCTTTTTTTGGTTTTTTTAATACTTTTACTTTGTATTTTATTTTATTATTTATTATCTTATATTTTTCTAATTATTTTTAATGTTCAAACCTAAAAATTGCACGAATGCCACTCGGTATGGTAAAATATTTAAGTTTAACTATTTAATCTTAATCGTTTCATCATAAATTATACATGAAAACGCACGGAATTTCTATTATCCAAATTTTCAAATATCTAAACCTGCTATGATCCGTGTTTGTTCGGATGTTTGAGATTCCATTGTAATACAGATTTTATTGAAATTTATCAATCAATCAATTGAAAAATTACAAAAAAAAAATAAATTTCTTTACTAAAAAATACCTAATAAATAATAAATAAATAATAATAGAGTAATATAAAAATATTCCACCTTAATTATTATCTTTAAAATATAGATATAATAAAATAAAAGAAGTGTAATTTTTACTCCAAAATTGTTATAAAAATTGCCCGCAACAGAAATTCTAGCCATTTTTTTTTGCGAAAAATATTGTAAAATTATTAATAATATCTATTATTATTTAAAATTTTCTATTTTTAACTAATTATGCAAATTAAGAATAGAATAACTCAACAATTGATTTCTGTTTCTCAAATATTTTTTTCACAGTGTGAATTCTACGTCTCGAAGTTGAAAATTGTCAACCATTCTGTCGATTACTGTACAAGTCTGATCAATATTGACTCGTACTACTGAGAAGTGAACCTCTACGGATATAAAAGGGGGTTTAGGAAAGATTCATCATTTTTGTGACGCGCTTCGAAAAAAGGCACCTAAGAAGTAAAGAATTTTATTTGTTTCTGTTATTTCACCCTAAATTAAAATTTTTCGTGTTTAATTTAAAACCAAAATCAGTTTTTATTAATAATTTTAGAAGCAATGAAGAGTAACGAATTGATACCAAAAATTCGAATCAATTTATGCGATTTATTCCACATTTTTGGTATCAATTCGTTGCTATTTGATTAGTTTCAAATTAACAATAAATTTAAATAATAAAAAAATGGTTTAAAAATAAATATTTACTCTCTAAATCTGAATGAGTAAAAATTTACCAATAAAATGATGAAAAGTCGTCCACCAAACGATTTAGTAATAATTTTAATAGCAACCAATGCAATTTTACTAATTATTAGTAGAATTTTACTAACAATTAGTAGAAATATTTTATTAAAAATCGATAAAAAAGTTTCACTTATTTATTTAGTGAATTAGATTAAACATTAAATTAATAGAATTAAGTGAAATTCTAGTAAAAAATTAGTAAAAGTTTACTAACAATTAGAAATATTTTAGTTATTTTACTAATCAAAAAGGAAAAAGTCGTCTATGGAAATTTACTCCACTAAAAATAGAATATAATTTCTTCTAATCATTTATATTCACTAAATTATTTCAACGACTAAAAATAAAAAAATCGTTTTCTTAGATAACTTAAAACTTATAATCATTCCTTATTTTTAGTACAGATATTACGGAAAAGTACTGAACAGTACTACATTCAAAATAAAACATCTAATATAGAAAACCAATATATAATGAAACGGAAAACAATTTCTACCCGTTCGATTATTGTATATATTCTACATAAATTATAGGTATAAAAATATTCAATATTTTCGTAATATGGTACAATAGTTTAAAACTCTTTCTATATTGAAATTCAATACTTTATAAAGAAACAAAGAGGTCTTTGAAAAAAAGTTGTTGAAATTAAAAAAAGTCTGTTATAATTTTATTGGACGATGAACATTCTTTTGTTCGTGTGTGTGTGCCTGCAGCAATGAAAAAATACCCAATATTTGAAGTTGGGATTGCCGAGTTCTTTTTTTTCCATCGATATACTATATATATATAGTGAAAAATTTCTGGATATTTTTCAGATTTCAGTCGATACTTGTGATTGAACCTGATGTGTATAAAAAGTTCATAAATTGTGGATTTGTTGAATATTAAAAAAAAAGGAGAATATTTTCTGCGTTTAATCGATTATAAACATTAAAAAAGGAAAATAATTTTCTGCTATACTTTAATGAACGTAATTATATTTTATTTTTTTCGCGCTATGAATTTGGCTATAATAAAATGAAAATGGGTTTTTTTTCAGGATGAAATTAGGATCTGCAATAATGGATTTTTATATTTGAACTGTAAAATTTTAATTTCAATATGAACATTATCTTTAATTAATCTAGCGAAACTTTTACTGCTGTACGTTTATTCATTCAAAAGCTTTCAACAGATAATTATTTTTCATATGTTAAAAGCCCTCATAATGTCAAAGATAATTATATTCATTAAGTAATATGTAGGTATTACTTTATAATAAATATTGTGGTTTTCGTATTTAAATGAAATTAATGAAAATATGTAGGTATCGAGAATAATTAATAATTAGCTGTATAATAATTGTTGGATCTTGGGAGTAGCATGAGTAGCAAGTCTTGTGTTTTTGTGTGAATGTGAATGTGTGAATACTGAATACACATATAACTTTAGGGTTGATTAAACTTCTCTATTCTTATTATTAATGAAGTTTCTAAACTATATGAGATTCACAGTTCTACACTCTGAGCCTGTTGCTCCATCTCTTGATAAAGGATCTATCATCAGCTAAAGGACTTGTGGATTGGATGATTTTAGTAATGGTTCCTTTCACTCTGCGGTTGCAATGGAATTACCTGGCAGATAAATTTATCGACATGTTGATTAACCAGCCATACAGGTCGCGAACTATTATGCTTTCAGTACTGACTCTAGCACATACTTCCTCAGCTATCAAGTTATATCCTAAAATCCTTTCCGTAATTTAACTGACTTATCCTAAAACCTCAACTATATCAAAACCATTCTAGAAATTCAGTCAAGTTTTTTAATTAACATTTATAGTGATAAATATTTCAGGCTTATTATTAATTTTCAAAAACTATAACTATAACTATAACTATATCTTTAAGACTGACAACAAGTTGCAAAAAAGTAACTATCGAAAAATTAAATTCGTCGACTCAATTTTTCCATTATTTCTAAATTAAATTACATTCAAAAATAGAATAATTAAAAAAAATATTTAAATACCTATTTCCTTTTCTACAGAAATTTAAACATTTTTAACGATTTCAATGTAAAACTTTTTTAAAATTTAACTATTTCTAAAAATTACAACTATAATTCTTCCAAAATCCAATTATTTTTTATAATTTTTTATTAAAATTATTCAAAACCAATAATTGTTTTTCAAAATAAAACTTTAAATACCTATTATTAGTTTTACAACAATTAAAATTTTCAACGATTTCAATTCAAAAAATCTTTTGAAATTTAATTACTTCTCAAAATTCACACTATATAGGTAATGCCTTTAATATTCAATTATTATCCAAAATCGTAATTGAAATTCAATTTTAAATCAATTCTCATTAGAAATTTCTATACGAGAATTAAATCATTTATAAATACAAAAATAAATAATTTATTGAATATTTCTTAAAATTTAATTTTTATAAAGAACTTTACCAAAATTTTGTAAAATAATTGAATTCGAAGAATTTTAATGATCTTTTGAAAATCATAACATTTTTCTAGGAATTCATTTAAAACTGTGTTAGAAATAATTTAAATTGAATTAAATTAACGAAAGAATTGATTTCCTTTGAAAATATTATTGTTTCTGAAAATAATGAAAAAAAAATGTAATAAAGGAAAAATGTAAAAATCCAAATTCAATTATTTCGAGGAAAATTTAAGGGACCGTCCATAAATTACGTAACACGTTTTTAGTGAAATTTTGAACCCCCCCTCCCCCTATGTAACAAGTTGTAACAAAATCGTTTTACACCCCCCCCCCTCCTTATCAATGTTACGTAATTTTTAAAAATATTTTTTTACTAACGTTCTTCGAAACAAATTTGTTTATTACTGTTTTTTTAGTATTTATATCGTACAATAGCAATACAGAATTAAGTTAAATATAAAAAACATTTAGAGGAATAATTTTATTAATCATACTGAACAACCAAAAATATAACATTGATTTTTTAACAATAAAAATTGTATATTATTCCCAAGAATCGGTTCGCGAAATGATTCGATTTTTACTTATATTGAAGTGGCGGCAAGGGACAGCTTTTCAAAAATTTATCCATTATAAAGAGATTAAGTTCCTTATAAATATTACGTAACAATGATGATTGACCCCCCCCCCTCCCATGTAACATATGATAACATTTTCTCGAACCCCCCCTCCCCCCTAAACGTGTTACGTAATTTATGGACAGCCCCTAAGTTCAAACGAGAAATTTAATTAAAATTGTACTGAAAATAATTGAATTCTTCTGAAGAGTTTATGATAATTTTTAAAAACAAGAGAATTCTATGAACAAATTTCGTCAAACTTTTTAAAAATAATTAAATTTTATCAAGAACTTTTATTCAAATTGTATTAAAAATAATTGAATTTTTGCGAAGGATTTTATAATTTACGACAATAATAATTTAATTCTTGCGAAGAATTCTATTAAAATTTTTCAAAATAATTGAATTTTATCGAAAAATTTTATGATAATTGTGATTTAGATAATTGAATTCCTGTGGAAATTTCATTATTTATAAAAATAATTTAATTTTCGCAAAGAATTTTAGAAATTTTTTTTTAAATAATTAAATTTGTTTAGGAAATTTTATTTAAATAGCAGGTATTGAAGATAATTGAATTTTGATACATTTTTGAAATTAATTAAATTTTAACATTTTTTTGGAAGTAATTGAATTGTTACGAAGAATTTCAATAAAATTTTCATCAATAGTGTCATTTTTCGATGAATTAATTTAAAATTATAGGTTTTTTTCAAAAAATTTTAATAAAATTCTGTTTTAAATAATTGAATTCCTGTAAAAAATGTATTATTTATGAAAATAATTGAATGTTTGCAAAGAATTTTAGAAAAATTTTTTTTAAATAATTGAATTCTTTTGGGAAATTTTATTTAAATAGTAGGTATTGAAGACAATTGAATTTTGATACATTTTTGAAATTAATTAAATTCCTACGAAGAATTTAGTTAAATTTTTTTGAGGATAATTTTTTTAAATCCAACTATTAGCAAATTTAAAGTAGTGCAAATTCCCAAACATAGAAAAAAGTATCTTTTAGTGTCACAAATTTTTTAAAAAAAGTATCCAAAATAGTATCAAATCGTAAAAAAAGTAGTAAATAGAAGGTTTTTAGTAGATAAGGGACCGTCCATAAATTACGTAACACGTTTTTAGTGAAATTTTGAACCCCCCCTCCCCCTATGTAACAAGTTGTAACAAAATCGTTTTACACCCCCCCCCCTCCTTATCAATGTTACGTAATTTTTAAAAATATTTTTTTACTAACGTTCTTCGAAACAAATTTGTTTATTACTGTTTTTTTAGTATTTATATCGTACAATAGCAATACAGAATTAAGTTAAATATAAAAAACATTTAGAGGAATAATTTTATTAATCATACTGAACAACCAAAAATATAACATTGATTTTTTAACAATAAAAATTGTATATTATTCCCAAGAATCGGTTCGCGAAATGATTCGATTTTTACTTATATTGAAGTGGCGGCAAGGGACAGCTTTTCAAAAATTTATCCATTATAAAGAGATTAAGTTCCTTATAAATATTACGTAACAATGATGATTGACCCCCCCCCTCCCATGTAACATATGATAACATTTTCTCGAACCCCCCCTCCCCCCTAAACGTGTTACGTAATTTATGGACAGCCCCTAAGTACGAAGCCTTAAATTTCATCTTTAGTTTTAAAAGCAGCATAAAAAGCAAAACAAAATTTAACATATATGACATAATTTCTTTTACCGCCACAAGTAATTAAATTAAAAGGAAAATAATCCCCACTTAAAAATTATTCAATCAAAAGATTGAAAGAAGCCTCTGTCTACTTATATAATAGAGATCAGAAAATATAAAGTTTAAACAAATTTTCAACTTGATTTTAATAACAAAAGCTATCAAACCGACTTTTAGAGACACGACGACAGAAAGTGAGAGAGAGAGAGAGAGAGAGAGAAAAATCCGATTTTACTTTTCAAGCTGAACTATTTGCGTAGAAAATTTACAAAGTTTTCTCTTCTTGTTAGAAATCTTCATTACAGAAAAACCAATTTCGAGTAAATGGAGTTAGCACCGCAATTCACCAAAATGTAAGAATTTCATTCTGCTTTTCTATTATACGCAAAGTTATTATAATTCCTCATTTACGAGCTGAAATTAATGCGCCAAATTTTTGGACTTGTTCACAAAAATTTTAACTCGATTGGTTTAATACTTCGACATGTTGCCTTTCAAAGTCACTAAATTGGTGGTAAAAATTTTTAATATTTGATAAAAAAAATTAGCATTTTTTTGGAGTTAAACAAAAAGGATTAAAGAGAGTTAAAATTTTACTCTTTTTTTTTAATTTCTTATTTACTAAATGTAACTAAATGTTAGTTTAACAAAATGTTAATTTAACTAAATGTTATTTTAAGTAAATGTTAAAATGTTTTAACTAAATTAATTTAACTAAATGTTAATTTAACTAAATATTAATTTAACTAAATGTTAGTTTAACTAAATTTTAATTTAACTAAATGTTAATTTAACTATAAATGTTAATTTAGCTAAATGTTAATTAAACTAAATGTTATGCAGTGTATATCTGTTTAGAGAAAAATTGAAAGAAATTTACCTCCTTTACCAGATGAAATGGGAAGAGGATTAATCTCGCAGTGAGGTGCTGTTGAAGGATCAGAAATAACAACACTTCCATGAGGTTTTTGATCTGTACAATTGGCGCAAATACCCAGTCCCGGTTCATTTTCAGAACAAACACGAAAGCAACATTCATTCTTCTCATCGCCATGCAACGCTCTCACTGATTGTTCCCCCGTTTCAGGAATATTAGGATCTGTGAACATTTTCAAAACACCACAGACAAATTATTTCAAAAAATTTATCAATCAAAATTAGCAAATGTACTTCATTATTTTCAAAACAAATTTTAAGATTAATCAAGAAAATCAAAATAAAAAATTAATGTAAAACAAGCATTAAAAGAAGGTGCTAAAAAATGTTGTACCCTCTTTTATGTTATTAAAAAATATCGTTTGTGAGAGAACTTTTATGCCATCTAGGCGTCAATTTAATCAACTTATTGGCGCGAAATTCAAAAAAGGAAAATTTAATTAATATTTAATATAACAGTATTTTAATAATATATGATTTTATAAAATGATGATTGTCTAAATTTCTACAAAATATTTACTGGGAAAAGTAGAAGACATAATTTTTTTACTGCATAAATTCAGATGTCTTAAAATCATTTGCATTTTAAATTAAGACTATTTTAACAGTGACGAGGGTATTTTTGAGATACGAACCTTGACAAAGAAATGTAGGTTCGCCTGCGTATTGTGTGGGGTATGCAGGCGCACGATCACCCGGAAGTAGATAAGGACAGCGTTGTTCCACGGATTGGCAGAAGGACCGACAGGGCCGTAATCTCTTTCCGGCCCAAGATATCTGCGTGGATTCCAATTCCAGCGGTCCCCCATGAGCAAAGTAAGGCACCAGGGAGCTGCACACCCATTTTCTATACGCTTCCTGCAATACAAAATTTATCACATTTCAACATTTCTTCATTTTTCAATAATTATTTTCTCTTATTTTCAAATGATTTTTAAATGCTAAGTAATTTTTTACTGTGAAAATGGTTAATACTGGGTTGCCACGAAAAAATTAATTTTTATTTTCCATGACTATTCCCTGATTTCCGCAGACTTTTTCCTGACTAATTTTGTTTTTTTTCTCTGACCCTAAAGAATATTTTGATCCACTCTAAAAATTAGATACTCAAAAAATGTCCTATTACATGTATTTACGAATTTTTTTATTTGGAAAATTATTCGAAAATATCAGTAAATTCTTTTTTAAATAAATATTAAATCATTATTATTACTCCATAGGAATTAAGATTTAAAAAAAAATTTTAAATTCAAACATTTTTACAATTCAATAACTTATTATTAAAAATATAAAAAAAAGAATAAAAAATATAAAACATGAAGATATCGATCACTCCGAGTCGAAGACTCGGAGTGAACGATATCCTCGTGTTTTATAATAATTTAAATTTTCATACAATTCAATTAATTTTAAAAAAATGTAATGAAAATTCGTTGCAGAATTCAATTATTTTCATAAATAATAAAATTCTTCACAGGATTTCAATTGTTAAAAAAAGGTAATAAAAATTCGTTGAAGATTTCAATTATTTTCATAAATAATAAAATTCTTCACAAGATTTCAATTATTTTTTAAAAAAGTAATAAAAATTCGTTGCATAATTCAATTATTTTCATAAATAATAAAATTCTTCACAAGATTTCAAATGTTTAAAAAAAATGTAATAAAAATTCGTTGCAACAATTCAATTATTTTCATAAATAATAAAAATCGTTGCAAAAATTCAATTATTTTCATAAATAATAATATTCTATACAGGATTTCAATTATTTTAAAAAAATGTAATAAAAATTGGTTGCAAGAATTCAATTATATTCATAAATAATAAAATTCGTTGCGAGAATTGAATTATTTTCATAAATAATAATATATTCTACACATGATTTCAATTATTTAAAAAAAGTTTAATAAAAATTCGTTTCAAGAAATCAATTATTTTTCACAATAATAAAATTCTTCACAGGATTACAACTATTTTTAACACAATTTTATAAGTAAATTCTTCAAAAATGTAATTATTTTAAAAATTTATATTAAAATTCTTCGAAAGAAATCAATAAATACACAGGAAATGAAAAGTGTTGTTTTAACCTGAATTCGGGTTAAAATAACAAGCAACAAATTTTACCCTCGTAGGGTAAAATTTGTTGCGTGTTGTTTTAACCCGAATTCAGGTAAAACAACACTTTTCATTTCCTGTGATTATCAATTACTTTTAATAGTTATTGTAAAATTTTCTGGAGAAGTTTGAAATCCATTTGCTTACAATTGAATTTTACAAAATTTCGATTATTCGGAAATTCTTTTATTAAATATTTCAAAAATAAAAATTTTAATTTTCAAAGATTTCAATTTGAAACCTTTTCAAAATTTAATTATTTCTAAAAATTCGTGCTGTTATGCTTTTAATATTCAATTATTATTAACTAAAATTTTAACTGAAATTCATTTTTAAAATAAATTTTTATTATAAAATTCTACGAGAATTCAATGATTTAAATATAAAAATAAATAATCTATTGAATAATTGAATGTTTCTCAAAAATTGAACTCTCATAGAGAACTTTATCAACAAATTTTTAAATAATTGAATTTTGTCAACGAATTTTAATAAAATTTTCAAGAATAATTACATTTTTCGAGGAATTCGATTAAAATTCCATTAAAAATAATTGAAATTCTGCAACAAGTTTTATTATTCATGAAAATAATAATTAAATTTCTGTAAAAAATTTGATTATTTATGAAAATAATTGAATTATTGTGAAGAAATTTATAAAAATTTGTAAATAACTGAATTCCTGTGAAATTTTTTTATTTATGAAAATAATTTAATGTTTGCTTAGAAGTTTATCAAAATTTTTTAAAAATTTATTAAATAATTGTATTCTTTTGAAAAATGTGATTAAAATAGTAGATATTGAAAATCTTTGAATTCAGGAAAATTTTTGAATATAATTGAATATTTGCCAAGAATTTTATTAATTTTAAAGATAATTGAAATTTGGAAGAGAGTTTTTTTTAAATTTTTGAATATAATTGAATTTCTGCGAAGAATTTTATTACTTTTGAAAATAATTGAATTGCTGCAATCATTTGTAACTTTTCCAAAATTCAATTTTTTCCAGTAGGTAATTTAATATAAATCCCTGACTTGTCCCTGATTTCCCTGACGAATTCTACTCTCTCTGACTTTTTCCTTAATTCACTGATTTCCCTGACCTGTGGCAACCCTGTAATAATTATTACTGAATTTTGTCAAATTCCTTAAAACAATGAAAATGTGGTAGAAAAACAATGAAGATAATAAAATGAAGAACGAGAGGCAATTTGAAAAGTGTGTTTGGTAATAATAATAATAAATGAATAACTATTAATTAAAAGAGAAACAAAACTTCATCATAATTAAAATCCTATACATGGCGTCGTACTCATAATTTTTCATTCCATACGCCCATTCATTTCTCATTTGTCTTTTTGGGAAGAATTATTATTATGCGATCCTAAATTGACCTAAGTGGTCGAGGAAAATGAAAAACTGTATCTGTCATATTTATCCTTTTTCATCAAGGTGTATGGTGTGAGTCAAATGGTCAGATCGACCTACATATTCACTAACTGTCGAGACAATGTACATTATACTTAAAGAACTGCTTAATTATCTCGTGTATCAAATGAAATATGACTATATTTTCGTGAAAGAATAATAATTTTAATTTTAATACTGCTTACGTTTTATTAAATTCTTAAATCTATTCCTTGTGTAAATAAAATATCTATAAAGATTTGCGAAAAGCTTGTTAAAAATAGAAACAATAATAAATGGCACACAAAACAACGAAAAAGAATGCAGTAGTGTAACTAAAGAGGATAAATGACCTCCTCTCGCAATGAATTAAATCTCTTAATTAAATCCTATTATTTTGTTGAAAAATGGCTGCTGTTAAAAAATTTCTATTTAATAATCCTTTCAAGCTTCAGTTGCACACTTTCATCGAAATTATACCTCTCTTTTCACTAAAATTATAATTTGCGTAGCTTGTTTCACAATAAATTCGCAAGAATAAAATTCGAACACACATCAATAAAAAAAAAGATAATTAATTAATAATCTTTTGTGGATTTATTTTTTCAATAAGCGGATGATGTCATCATCATCATCATATTTTTAATTAAACTCTTGTAAATTTTTATTAGCTACTTTAGTTAAATACGTATATGTGTATATTATATTTTAATTTTTCTATAGAGATTATTTTTCAGTGAGAGTAAGAAAATTAAAAATGTGAAAATTTGTAGATGTGGAATTGTACAACTGCGAGGCGAACTGCGCTAGAAATATTGCACTTCACACACTCTAGTTGCGTTTCCATTGTTCAGCAGTATACTTTGCCTTTTTCCTCCACTGCGGCTATAGTTGCCTCTCCTCCCTTCACCGAATTCCTCTCTCCTTTACTCCCACCCCCACACCAATAACTCTTCAATCATTATTTATCGACGCTGTGGGTATTCTCTTTTTTTATCGCTATAACAAATTACTTCTCATTTCCTTTCTATCAAAAATATTAAATTACATTTTAATCGAAAATTGCATAAATTGAATTCTTCATTGAAATTGTTTACAGTTTATTGCCTAAACTCAAAGTAATTACATATTGACTGATTTTACTCATACATTGGTTTTTCAATGTTTAATAATAAAACTTTTTTTCGACTAAGCTTTAATATTAATACAACTGAATCAAGTTAAATGTTCGGGAAAAAATTTGAAATTATAAACGTTTTAGAAAAAATAATTAATATAAATTAATTATTGAAAAAAGTATTAATGTCTTAATTATTTCAATAATTAAGACATTAATACTTTTTTCAATAATTAATTTTTTTGAGGAGAAAATTTATATTCTCTACAATATAAATAACATCACTTAAGTAATTATAGTAATAAAGTTATATTAGATGTTCTTCTTTTTCTGAGCTTAAAATCTGCTCCTATGCCTCCTGACGGGCATCAAATTTATGGGAAGCTCTTGAAGACAGTGAGACGACAAAGTTTTCACACTAACTTTAAACGGGCTCAGACAATTACTTTTCACCTCAAAGTTGCCGACTTTACAAGAAAAAGGGAAAAGAAAGGAAAACAGATAAATATCCACATGTGCCAAAAATTCTTGAGAAAGCCTATAAACTCCGGTAACATTATTTTCCTAATTTACTCCGAGATTCTTTTCCTTAATTTTGAAATTTTCAAAAAGCAAAAATTACTCTTGGTGTCTTGGTATTATTTTAAACAAAGAAATTCAATTACTTTCAAAAAAATTTATAAATTATCGTCAAAATTTCAATTATCTAATTATAAATAATATAAAATTCTTCTCCGAAATTCAATTATTTTCGAAAATTTATCTCAATTAAATAAATTTTAATATTTTAAATTTTTAATAAAATTTTTCAACAGAATTCAATTATTTTAACAAATTTTTTATAAAATACTTTCAAAATATTCAATTATTTCCTTAAATAATAAAATTTTCGCAGGAAATCAATTATTTAAAACACAATTTTCATACAATATTTTTAAGAAATTCAATTATTTTGATAGATATTTTTATAAAATTTTTCGTCAAAATTCAATTATTTCTAAAATAAAACTCTTCTCAGGAATTTAATTATTTTGAAAAATTTTGTTATAGTTACAATTTGTTTATTAGAATTTAATAATTATTTTCAATACCTACATTTTTAATTAAATTTCTTGAAAAAATTTAATTATATTCAAAAATTTTATTTTAAGGTAATTCTTTGTAACAATTCAATTATTTAAAAAAAATTTTAATAATATTATTCTAACTTTTTAA